CTCCTGGAAGATCCGCCATCCCTGGTGGCCCCAACACCCATGGGAGATCCCCTGGGGACCCCAACACCTCTGGCAGGGCCTCTAGGGCAGCTGCACCTGGTAGGGCAAATGGCACAGACTGAGGCAGTACTGTCTCTGTAGGACCCCTGGGGGCAGTTGTTTTTGCACTATTTAGAACAATGGGAGATATGACATTAACTAAATAAATTACCCATCGCATTTCCAGTATCATAGCTCCATGAACAATGTAAAGGAGATTAAATATCCAACAGGAAAACATAAGTTGGGGTGTTGTGCTGACTGACTACTCTATTCTCCTATTGGCTGTTATTCGGTGGATAAACATTTTAGTCCACCAATCACAGTAAAGTAAGGAATGGCGGGATATATACAATATGTATGATAATACTACCAAGCAAGCTATGGGACTCCTGGGAGGGAGCGCTTCTGGCAGGGCCCCTGGGGACTCCACTGCCTCTGGAAGGACCCATAGGAGAGCCGCTGTCCCTGGGAGGGACCCTGCGGGCGCCACCACCCCTGCGAGTCCCCCTGTTGGTGCCACCGAATCTCAGAGGGCCCCTGGGGGCGCCACCGGCCCTTGTAGGGTCCCTGGGGACTCCACCGCCTTTGGGAGGTCTCCTACAGGCGCCGCTATCCCTGGGAAGGACCCTGCAGGCACCACCAGCCCTATCAGGGCCCATGAAAGCACCACCGTCCCTATGAGGGCCCCTGGGGGCGCCATCGCACCTGGCAAGGCTGCTGTGGATGCCATTGTCCCTTGGAAGGTACCTAGGGGAACACTTTCCCCAGGAAAGCCCCTGGAAGATCCAATGTCCTTGGGGGCCCCGACACCCATGGGAGATCCCCTGGGGACCCCAACACCTCTGGCATGGCCTCTAGGGACGCTGCACGTGGTAGGCCAAATGGCACGGACTGAGGCAGTACCGTCTCTGTAGGACCCCTGGGGGCAGTTGTTTTTGCACTATTTAGAACAATGGGAGATATGACGTTAAATAAATACAGTGCCCATCGCATTTCAGTATCATAGCTCCATGAATACTGTAAAGGAGAATAAATATCCAACAGGAAAACATAAGTTGGGGTGTTGTGCTGACTGACAGCTCTGTTCTCCTATTGGCTGTTATTCGGTGGATTAACATTTTAGTCCACCAATCACAGTTAAGTAAGGAATTCCGAGATATATACAATATGTATGACAATACTACCAAGCAAGCTAAAGGAATCCTGGGAGGGGGGCTCTTCTGGTATGATTCCCGGGGACGCAACTGCCCCGAGGAGGGTCACTGGGGGCACCACTGCCCCAGGCAGAGCCCCTGGTGGCGCCGCTGTTCCTGGCAGGGTCCATTTTGGCGCCACTGAACCTGAGAGGGCCCCTGGGGACTCCACTGCCTTTGAGAGGTCCCTTCGGGGTGCCGCTGTCCCTGGGAGGGACCCTATAGGCACCATCACTCCTGCCACGGCCCATGAAGGCTCCATCGTCCCTCAGATGGCTTCTGGGGGCGCCATCGCTCCTGGCAAGGCTGCTGGGGATGCGTTGTCCCTTGGAAGGTCCCTAGGGCACCACTTTCCCCTGGAAAGCCCCTGGAAGATCCAATGTCCTTGGGGGCCCCGACACCCTTGTGGTTATCAGCATATATATATATATTTAACTCACCACTTATTTGTTGCTCTTCTTCTTGGTTTGTTATTATGCATAAAATGTGTAAGCTTGATAGGAGAGTTATATCGTATTTTATATCTTTGTTTTATCATGGTAGTTTGCGTTATTTTTTCTTGGACAGGTTAATATATATATTTTTTTTTTTTACAACAACTGGACTGTTATGTACTGTTGGCAAGTGTTGGGCATGTACTGGCTGTCTTTTCATCACTGTTGGCAAGTACTGGACTGGGCATGTACTGGATCTGTTACACACTGTTGGCAAGTACTGGTCATGGATTCATTCTGTTATGTACTGAAGGCAAGCGTTGAGTATGTACTGGCTGTTTCTTACACACTGTTGGCAAGTACTGGGCATGTACTGGTTCCAAAATGTATCTGTACTTGAGCCATTAAAGAGATACGATCACCCTCCCCCAGTTACTAACAATATTGGTTGTTCAAAGTGGATAGGGTTATTAACAGAGGTGTAATTAGGCTCAGTGGTGTTGTACTTCACACATTGCTATTTGTTGTAGATTCTATTCAGCCAATTTCAGAAACCTATCAGTCAGAGAGTAAGTAGATTATCACATTTAAATTTCTTTTGTTACTTTATCCACTGTGAATATTATTTGTTCAGTGTGAAAATTGGTATTACTTTCAATGGAATTGTTTTGCATACATATTCCCTATAAATATGGGAAAAAAACAACTACATTATTATGTTATTCAGATTTTATTGAATAACATGCCAAAATTCACACAAAATGCTTCTATTTCACTAACAAAAAAATATTAATAGTATACTTACTCTACACAAACATGTAACTTGTTGTCAGAACATAAGGACGGGGGCTGCTGGCGGGGGGAAAGGGGGTGGGGGACAGTTGGATATGCCTCACACAAACCTTCTGGTCTCAATTCTACCTAAATGGAGAATTATAATTTCAACCCACACTCACCAAATGTGCTCTGGCCTGCTGTAATACTTTAACATTTGTCTTGATACATGCACCATGATCATATGGACAGTGATTCTCCCTGTGCTCAGTTATGCTATTAGTATATTCTGTGAGGGGCATCCTACAAAAACTGGACAATGAAGTACTGTTTACAAGCCAGAGCCAACTCAATGAGCAGAAATAAATTATTATATGACCAGTTACCAGCATGATTATCACTTAACAATTGCAGCTATGTCTGCTCTGCACGAGCACACCATTCACCAAAAAACATATATTTCTAGGTTACAGCAGTGAATGGGACCCATTGAATTGCACTATGTACATCACAGATAATAGTCATACCTTCATATTTGTACAGTACAATACCAATTTAGTAAGTCACCATAAATTATTATGACATACTTTAATACTTTTCTAGCTTCTATATGACAGTATTTCTTTTAATAGAAAAAGGTTTTAATATGCATAAAATTAAACATTCAGAATCAATAGCATTACTGGGAATATTTCTTACTTTACAGTACATGGGTGTGAGGAAGCTATGCTTGGGCCCCTACACCCCCCAATCCCACTGAGCCCCAGCACGCCGGCCTGTGGTACACGGTAATCACGCCACAACAAGGTGCAACATATGCTTAGGGTAATGGGTTTAGTGTCTTTGCTTAGAAACTAGGTGTTTTGATTTATTATAATCAAATATAACTATAAACATTTCTTTAAGAATTATACATTAGCAGTATCATATAAATTATTAAGAATCTAGACTTTGTATTTATACAAACAACGTTAAGTCAACACAGTCTAAATGTTTATGTATCGACAGTTAGTGTTGTATTTGGTATGGTACAGCTGGCTCCTCCTTCCTGTGGGCCGAGCCCCGTGGTGGGTGGCAGTAACCACAGGAATGGATGGGTGGCAGCAATGTTGGACCACCTAGAGCTGGAGGAACGATGGTGGCCAGCAAGGCACACATACAGGGCCTAGTGATGCCCACAGCTGCCACCGCCCATCTACCATCTCCAGTCTGCCACCACCACCACACCACGATGCAGCGCACACTGGCCACGCACTACTGTCCACAGTTACTAGAGGCTACAACTTCTTACACAGTAAGGTGAGGCACAAGGTACAAAGAAAGACCATACGAGAGGTACAGAGGGCGGCAGTATGGGGTGGTGGGGGAGGCAGCCCACACTGCTGCTTGCCTCCCTTGCCTCCACCAGCACCACCACACACCAAGTACCAGGCAATCTTATCATATAGGCCAATATGTACAAAGAGTAAAAATAATCATGTCTTTTGCTTATTTACATTGAGCCAGAACTAACAAGTACATAGGTGGCGGTGACAGACTTGTGAACTGCAGTCGATGCAGTAATGTTAAGAATGACCCTTTTCAACTGGGCAGGATGCATCCTTTGCCGTTATCATACAGGCAGGAGACAATCCAAAACTGGGATAAGATAGCCAGCAACCTAAAGTCAACCATGCAGATAATGACATGTAGGTCACATTTACATAGATGCTTGGCAATGACTTTCTCAGCCCTTAACCAGGTGGGCAGTGAATTAATTTTTCATCTGCCAAGAGGCAGTGTTGACAGCCCTCGGCCTACCAGACTTGAGAAGGCATTGAACTGTCCTCTTGAATTTGCCAGTCACCAGTGCCTGTAAGAGGCTGGAGGGCTGTTGCAGGTGGGCAGGCTGGAGCAGGACTGGCAGAAGGGAGTAAGGGAATGTGATTCACAAACACAGGAGGCCGGGGAGCAGGGCTGCAGCTCCTCTCTTGGCACTGTCACGGTAGTGCGGCACTGACACTCACACACACGGCGAAGGACACACACACTGCTCCCCAAGTCTTTTTTTGTACAGTTAACAACCGTTGTGGTCCATAGAGGCAGAGGCGGTGGGGGCACGATTGTGAGGGTTTCTTGACCCTAGGGACGGCACCCCCTGCTCGCCAGGCACTGTTCACGCAGCACTGAGTGTCCTCTCACTGGTGCACGTGGTGGCCCTTCTTGCACCTCACGAATTGGGGGCCCAATTTTCTGAAATTCTCGGCCGTTTGCTCAACGGGGTGTCATAGTCACTGTGGTGGGAGGCCCCTTCAGGTGAAGCATGTGAAGTTGGAGTCAAGTGACCTGCAAGGAAATATATTTTATAATTTTTATTACTCTTATAAGTGATTATGTTTGGGAGAGCTTTAGTTGTACTGTTGATCACACAGCAAATAATTTCATATTATATTACCTGAGAGTGCATTGGTGTACAGACTGTGCCCAGGATGGTTGGAAGATGGACCCATATGTGAAGGTGGTGCAGGTGACAGGTGGCCAGGGTCTGTAGAGGCTGGTCTTTGCAGGTGAGAAGCAGGGATGCAATTGGGATCACGAGGAGGACTGATGGGTTCTGACTTGATCCTGACAGGCGGGGAGGCGGCCGGTGGTGGTGTGGAGGAACTGACACTGAGATGAGGCAGACCCGCATGTGACATTGCCAGTGATCCACTGTTCCACTGTCATCAAAGAAATACAGGTTAAGGATTTTAAATGATATAGAGTAGCTAGCCTGGGCCTACTAAAAATGAACTGGTCCATTTAGACAGGAATATTTGCATATCTTTAATACTGTACCAGTACATCCCAAAACCTTAAGTATTTTCTGTGTTTTAAATAAACAGTGACATACATTTTGAGAAATATTATACTGTACTTATAAGAGTCTTCTCAAGTAGCAAGTTTATATAATCAACATCCTTTCCAAAAGAATTGCAAATGCAAATTTGTGTTGGTCATAAATATAGTACAGCATTTAGAGTATTTATCTAATACAATCAACCCTCGCTTTATGCGGTCCCACTTTACGCGTTTTCACGTTTACGCGGTACCCTGCCGAAACCGGAATGCTCACTTTCCGCAGTGCGTGTACCCCTTTACGCGGAGAGCGGCTGGCGGTCCTCTCGCGCCGCGCCATTTTTGGATCCAAACCTCCCGCCATCTCTCCCACCCTCTCCCGCCATCCGCCATGTTGTGTAAGCGGCGCGAGTAGGTTGCGCAGTGTATGTCTTTGTTGCGTTATCGGTGACGTCATATGACGTAGCGGACTGTGATTGGGCAAAGCATCCTTACTTCCCTCCCTGCTAGCTGTGATTGGTTTAATGTAGTACTATGACGAGCCCCACCGCAGGAGCGTTCAAGCCTTTGACCTACCGCGTCAGTTACACCCCTCCAGGCTACACCGTGTATATCGGTATCCATTGTTCCATAAGAATGGCTTCCACCGGACCACCACCACCACCACAAAGAAACCTTGCATTACCTGGACCCAGCTGCCCTAAGCCAAAGAAGACACGACGTTCCTTAAGCTACGAAATCAAATATAAGATCATACAAGAGTTGGAGAAAGGAACAAGACAGGTTGATCTCGCGCGCCAGCATGGTGTTAACGAATCAACTATCAGGACAATTAAGAAGGATGCAGCCAAGATAAAGGAGCACATGAACATCACAAAGTCTACAGGTGCTTCTATGATCAAATATTTCCACAACCAGGTGCTTCTCAAGACGGAAAAATTACTTGTGAGCTACTTGGTGCGTCAGGCGCGACGGAACATGGCGGTGGACACGCGCTCATTTAAGGAGTACGCACGTGAACTGTATGCTGCAGTGTCACGAAAGATGGGAATTACAGAGCCCAAACCCTTTAATGCTTCCTCTGGGTGGTTACAGAGGTTTAAGAAGAGGAACAAGATCACCAATATCAACATTGGTGGTGAAGAAGCTAGTGCTGACCGTGTTGCAGCTAGGGAATTTCCTCCGTTTTTACGTGAGATTACGGAGGAAGGACAGTACACCGACGACCAGGTGTTTAACATGGACGAATCTGGTCTTTTTTGGAAAAAGCTACCTTCCAAGACCTTCGTTGTGAAGAATGCCAGCAAGTGTTGGGGCCGGAAGTTGCAGAAGGAGCGCATCACCGTCCTGTTTACCACCAATGCTTCCGGTACCTGTAAGCTCAAGTTATCGGTGATCCATGCAGCACGCAAGCCGCACGCCTACAAGAGCATGGACATGACCAAGCTAAATGTCCACTGGCTGACCGCACGTAAGGCGTGGATGTTCTCTACACTGTCCCTCTCCTGGTTTGATGACTGTTTCGTTCCCGATGTGAAGAAATTCTGTGAGCAACAGAATGTGCCATTCAAGATTTTGTTGCTGCTGGACAACGCACCAGGACACTCGCCCCTACTGTTAGATCATCACCCCAACATAAAAGTGGTCTTCCTTCCTCCCAACACTACGTCTATAATACAACCCATGGACCAAGAATTGATCTGTAATGTAAAAGCTGCATTCTCTGCTAAAAAATTCAACCTACTGAACTACTACACCAACACCAACACCAAGGAAGAGTTGCGTAACCTGAGTGACACCAACACCGATAGCAAGAGCGAAGACGATGAGGATCAACAGTTGGCAGAGCAAGAAGTACTTTTAAAACAATTCTGGAGAACATTCAATGTCAAGAAAGCTGTGGACTTCTTGGTGGAGGCATGAGATCAGCTGTCTGTAGCAACTGTCACGCATGGAGACATGTGTTGCAAGGCATTCCGGGTGTTAGGCAGAGTAAATCTGTGACTGGTGAGGTTCAGACTGTTGCAGTAGCAGTGGACCTTGCCAGAGAAGCTGCGCAGAGTGTTACAGCTGCAGGCTTCTCCGAGACCACCAACGACGACATCCTGGAGGTGATAAGGGATCCTGATGTGACTAACGACGAGATGGTAGATGATGATGACGTCAGTGAAGAGGCAGGTGGTGCGTCATCCCAAGAAGAACGCCGCTTATCCCATAGTAATGTTAGGGGTGCCATTGAGTGTATTGAGAAAGTCAAGCTCCTCCTTTCCGACGACCCTGACGCAAACAGGTATGAAATCTTCACTACCCAGCTGTTGCAGACTATGGAGCCCTACATCAAGGTTTATCACAACAACATAAACACCAGCCGTCAGCAAAGCATAACAGAGTTCTTCACCCGCAACCCACCACAGCCAGCCCAAGCCAGTGATAGTGACAGAGGCAGAGACAGTGATGATGACTTTGAGGAATTTGTCAGGGAGGCACTAGTAAGTGTGGATGACACCGATGAAGACTCACCTGAGGGCCAGTAGCCTGCCCTCTGCCTCGGAACCAGCCTCCATTCCCCTACGCCGACCCATCTCTTCTACTAACGTAAATGTTAACCCCAACCTTGTTTTTTTCTAACCTAACCTTCAGTTTATTGACTGTTCCCTTCTGTATTATGTGTGGGTGAATACCATCATAAAGTTAAGATGTTATTTTTAGTAAAACGTACGTATTGTGTCGGGAAAAAGTGGAGTTTGGGGGTCGGCCCGGTCTCTTTCAATTAATCCCATATGTTATGTTGTTCACTTTACGCGGGCCACCGTGGGTTGAATTAACCGCGTAAAGTGAGGGTTCACTGTATATGGGGATAGCTGCTTAACAGTATTTAAAGTTTATGAACATTATAACCCATACAAAAATACAAATATTTTTTAACACAATTCAAATTACCTTACCAGGCATCTTTCAACTTCTGTGAACAGGAAGCTACCAACATGCCTAAGGATGTACTGTACTAAATAACGACTTCATGGAAGAGTTGTACTCCTACACAATAATATTAAAAGTTTACAGATCAGAGAGTAGTTCTTACCTGGTGAAGACTGTTTAGAGGATTGAGAGAGATATCAGCATTGAGTGGGAAGTCCTGATGTGAGAATGAGTTGAGTGAAGAATACGTCATTGAGGGGTTCACATTTGACTGAAGTGATACTACTGGCGTGTTTAGTGAGGGCGATCCTGGTCGTGGAGTCTGCACAGAGAATAAAATATTAATTATAAAGTTAATATCATAATAGCTTTCTCTACTACAGGCAATGCTCAACTTACAAAAGGGTTCATTAATGAAATAGCGTGTGATTTTCCCACTGATTTGAACTAAATAATTACAGTAATAGATATACTGTATTCATAAAAAAATTACTTAAAATTATATCCCAGACATGATTTATATGGGCACAATTTTATTAAAATAAATAATACTTATAAGAAAATGTGGCTAAACCTACATATTATCTAGGTGTGTTAGCACATTATGTTGTGTAAAATTTTCCCTGTAACTATGAAATTTTGCTTCATAAATCAGAATGTTCCCTAATTTATGCAATTCGTAACTGAATTTCCATAAACAAGGGATGCCTGAACTGCTTCTGTTTTGAAATTAAACACAGAAGGTCCTAGGTAAGAGTGTTGTACAGAACTGTACAGCAATAACCCGTGTATCTCTCATCACAATGTCATGGGTACGAGCCCTGATTGGCCCAGATAAACATAAGAAGGATATTGTCTCGTGCGACCCTAACAAACATCACAGGTTTCCTCCGGGTACTCCAGTTTCTTCCTGTACTGACACTGGACAAATAAAGTTCACAACAAAGTACAGTATACTGTACTGTACTGTACTATGAATGGATCAAACACCTGAATGATTAGTAAGCTGATACATGGTGAAATGATAAAAAATGTAGCTTACTGAATGTGAATATGTAGCTGTGATGAACCTTCTTCATATGTTGTCATTGGAGGATATAAATAATTCCATCCACACATGTACATGGTACTTGTACCTTGTTGTGGACATATTCCCATACTGTACACTATTCCACCGAAAGCAATAACAATTTCTCTACCAATACATATCACCCATATGAAGTTCTTTGCTTTGTTTCCCATATCCAGCTTTCCATAGGGTTACAAAAGTTGCCTGCAAATACTGTAAACTCCGTGAAAAATATACAAGTACTCTACTCCCAAAACTCCCTGCCATGAATGCATTACCCCTCAATACATTGTTTCTTGTAGGAAAATTAGTTTTGCTTGTCACAGTTTGGCACATCACAAGGGTTTTTCAGTAAGAGTGTCTTTACAATTAATGAAAACTAACTGTATTCTCAAAACAAGGATAAATCTGAATATTTTGAAGACACGATGTCATAGTAGAGCGTGCCTTGCAGTTAATATCATGATTTTCAGGACTTTATAAAATCGTAAGCTCATTGTAATTTACAAGAGGAGCACAGGAATAACAAGAATACCCTGCACCTAAAATTTGCCACAATACTTGGATTACCAGTATCATTTGCAGTAGAAATATTTATACTGTACTGTTCCCTTTTTTCAGTCTGCCACAAATGGTTCCTGGGGGAGGCTGCCTAATGTCCCAGCTACAATCTAGCATACATCAATGGCCCACTTCTCTAAATTCAATAATTCACAAAAGGGAACACTTGTGCTATGACTCTTCTGTTTCACAATACAGTACTGTACTGTACTTATAAAACTTAATTAAAAAGGGTTGAGAAGAGCTCCAGTCTTTGTTTGCCAAGCTTTCTCCATTGATTGAACAACTTTGCCACAGGACTCTCATTTGTGACATTCATCAACAAGTGTTTAGCTTTACCAGCAGTGAACCCTGTTTGTGTGAGCACAGGTTAGGAAGTGGCAAGTGTGCTATAATTTTCAGCTAACTGCATGCCAACACTATTAAGCACCAGTGTAATGTGGCTATATTGCCATACAGATATACAGTACTGGACTGTAGTGTACACTGAACCTTTGCTAATTTGGTATTGTTAGGAATCTGGGTCAACTGAATTAGCCCAAAATATCAAAATTCCCGCATAGTTCTGGATTTTTCCTACCACTCACCTGACAATAATTTAAGAGAGAGATTCGTGGTTTTTACGGATGTGTGTTCCGAAGTTTGATATATTGTACACTGGGAAAACTAACATGACAAAACGTAACAATGTCTGAAGAATGTCACTAGAAGGGTCCTGGGGCTCTTGGAGGCCATAACTAACAAAAACAGGCAGAGTTTTAACACATGCAGGCACATTGTCCAAATACTATGCACACAGTATTGCTACTGGGTGCCTGACTTTGTCCTATTATAGATGTTGGAATAACCTTTCAATAAAATCCATGTTTCAATGACAAAGACTGTCTTTCTTTACCTTGTTTCATACAGTTCCCACACTGTTTCATACAGCTCCCACACTGTTTCATACAGCTCCCACACTGTTTCATACAGCTCCCACACTGTTTCATACAGTTCCCACACTGTTTCATACAGCTCCCACACTGTTTCATACAGCTCCCACACTGTTTCATACGTTTGACGTTTTGTTTACCAGCACACCCAGCTCTTCTTTAATCATGTTTTGTGTGCACCAACAAATTTTTTATAATAATTTTTTCAACTTTTTACTCTTAAAGAATTGAAAGTACAGTACTACACAAGATGAGTGAAGAATACATATCCCATTCCAGAGTTATTTCCAGATTTTCTGAGTAAATTGCTATTATTTTAACCCTCAAAACCATGAAATGTTCTCGCAATTTCTACACCAACAAAAAAATAATTACTGGGTATCCTGAAATATCAAATTACTGAGGGTCGGTGTACTTTAATAATTTATTAAAAAGATAGTGGACTATCAATGAGATAACTGAAAGCTACATTAGAATTAAAATGTGCTGAACTACAGTACTGGTATACAGGACTAAAATGTGCAAATGTACAAGATGAAGTACTGCAGTAATTTACCACTTGGTTGCACATGATTCTAATGTAGTTTACAGTTTTACTGGAGAAAATATTTTACTTACGGTCTGTGCTTGTGAGTTAGGAATGAGAACACGAAGATTTGGTCTGGTAGGAGAATGGGTCTTTGACGAATGTGGCCGAGGCACTAGTCCAGGTGACGGTGCTCCTCCATGGGGTAGAGGAGAAGTTGAGCCAGGGTAGCCATTAGAGCCATTCATGTCTAGCATTCCACTTGATGATCCAGGTCGTGGTGAGAGAGAGGCATGAGACATTTGTGGTGAGGGCTGCATTAGGGCCGGATCATAGTTTGTATTATTAACAGGTACGGTCACTGCCATGCTGTTGTAGTTGTTTAGTCCTACTGGTTGCTGCAAGAAAAATTAATAATTTTAACATTTTTTAAGCCACAATCATGTTGAAAACTTTTTCTCCTTTTACAATGCTGTTTAGTTTTCTTTTTGCCATATTATAAAGTAAGCTTTTGGTAAAGAACAAAAATGGCTTTCATGTACAGTTGCATGAATTAAAATGTAGATAATATTATGTACTGTATTATTATTACACAATTCAAGCAGAGAAACTTGATCTCTGTGACTAAGGTAAGAATGTACAGGACAATCTTCTTCCTAACATGATGTGTACAATGTTTACAGACAACATGAACAACAACTTACTCGACTGCCATTGATCTGGTTGCGCTGCATCATCAGGGTAAATTCTTCATCAATCTTGTTGTACTTCGCCTCAGTGCGGGGTGTCAGAGAGTACTCTTGTTCAGGGTCAGGTGAGTCAGGGGACTGTAGACCATTTTTGTGTTCCTTTTTGTTAAGAGCCTGTTGGACAAAGGTATTCCAATGTTTGCAATTATTGATTACCAAATGGAAAAACACTATTTACATACACTATTCATACACTGTACAAACTTGTAGCATACATGCACATCAGTCAAATTTATTTTGTGAAGGGTTAAGTAAACCCTATACAGTACATATTACAAAAAAGTTATTAAGGTAAAAATTATTTTGACTAAACTTTGACCATTCAGAGGACAACTGCTTCCTTGAAGGAGAATGTGTTTAGTGGTGTTGAAACCTTAGAAGGTGCTGCTACTTCAGATACAAAGTCAAGCCTTCAAGGTCTTAAAGCATAACCTACAATCCTAACAAGTTGTGAAATAATTATACGCATAACCTCTTTAAAGTATACTTGTCCCTGTAATGGTCCTAACGTGTGGAGGGGAAAAATAAAACAGTACTGCAGATCTTGTAAAAGATATGAATGACCAAGTGCAAAAATACAGCAGTTTAACAAGGAATATTGCTTACAAAATGGGCAGAGAGTGTCAAAATCAATTCACTTTTCCAGGAGTGCATATCTACTAATGGCCTAAAATACTGAGTAGGCAGATCCCTACGAGTTTGGTCTGCAGCTAACCTTGGTTTGCCATTTCAGAGCAACATTTTTTCAGCTTAATGAATCTGTTTTCCTGTCAGTCTAAGAATTACTGAGAGTATCAAACACAAAAAAAAAGATGCATCCAATGTACAGTACAGTATCATTATTATTTTCCTGACCTAATTATATCCTACTACCAGCTGAAGTATGGGCGAGGGGAGAAAAGTGCATGAAAGACTTGAGCAGCTGGGGATGCTCACAGTCGTAAGGTATATAACAGGAGTCTTTTAAGGGCTTCTGTCATGCTACCTTGACCACACTCCTACCATGCTCTGAGATTTACCAAATACAGTAATCCTGTGTTTTTCTCGGGTTTTTTTATAGCGGTTCTGACCATTCGCATTTTTTTTTACTAAAAATTATATATATATATATATATATATATATATATATATATATATATATATATATATATATATATATATATATATATATATATATATATATATATATATATATATATATATATATATATATATATAACATTTTCGATATTCCCCTGTGCGGTGCGGCAAACAGACGCCACCCTTTCCTGCCTCAGACACTCGCTGTTCCGAGAAGCCTCAGTCCACACATGCCTACCGTACTGTGACCGCTACTGTGATTACCTCTTCTGTTTGTCCTCCCACGTGCATTCCACATGGCTCTGGGACGTAAGCCAGCCTCATCAAAGGCAAATATTACTAGCAAAGACTCTAAAGTGACCAAGAGATCAAGAATAGTGATGACCTTAACGGAAAAAACAGTTTTATTGGACAAGCTCAGAGGTGGTATGAGCTATGGCTCGAGATGTGGTGAAGACTGACAATTCATTTGTGTCTTTTGTCAGAATACAAGTCTTCAAGTGGAGGAATGTGAGTGGAAGAGGACTGACTGGCTGGCTGGCGTGAGTGCGTGCAGACGCAGGGACAGCAGGGAGAGGCTGGCAATGCGGGTGTTGCCGACCTCAGCGAAATATAAAATATTTTATTTACTTGTATATAAATATCTTTTGTATATAACTGTGTTTACGTTTTTCCATTATTATACTACAATATGATTAGTTTCAAATAATGATGTTAGTAAATGCCGGTACAGTGCATCAGTGATCAGTGTGACCACTGGGCGGTGTGTGGAGAGTATGGCGTGGTTAAGTGCATAACCTACCTGAGCTGTTTGGTGGCCACAGGTACAGTGATTCCTAAGAGTATTCGCGGTTTTGGCCTTGCGAGGGGGTTTCAGGAACGTTATTCCCGCGAAAAATACGGGATTACTGTACAAAGAATAACAAAATATCCCCTCCTGAAAAGTTCTGCCAAATATACAATTCATTTCCTTTATTAGTTCCATTTTTTTTTTAAATTCAAAATACTCTACAGTTCTGTACTCTAATGAATTATTTTTAATGTTTATATTTGAAACAAAGGATAAGAAAATATTGTGATAACGGCACTGCCTCAAATATAAAACTTCTCATAAAAACTGTAATGAAATGTATGCAAAGACTGAAAGGCTGGTGAAGAGTAATTCATGTGTAACTAATCATCAAAAGTCTACTTAATTAATTTTCATATTGCATAAAAGTGATCTAGTACACAATGAATATAGAGCAAACAAATATACTGTAACTTTGTTCTTGAGAGGTAAGAGCTGTAGACTGTAAGAACTCTTTACACAACACAGCCGTACAAGAGACCACTATAGACGTGGCTTCCTCTAATATGCTCAAAGGCTCGCACCATCTAACAGGATAAAGGAGAAGCATTTATACTCTCTTACAATCTTGCACATTCTATATATTTTTTAGACGTTTTCTGCAAGATTCATATCAAATGGAAGATTCATACTAAATACCTAGTGTTAAGAATCTCATACTGTACAGGTATTCATCATCCTCAACACACAGTTCCATTAATTTACACTTTCTTGGATAAGCATTAAAATATTACTCATATCCCATCCTACTTTTTCTGACCTCAACTTCTTTTCTACTTTCTGGGAGATTATAAATTCATGTTTATTGCACAGTATAATGTACTGAATACTGGATCTGGTGGGCTAATCCACAAGGAAGGGGACTTATTTACAAACAATAATTACTATAACATACTGGTCAAGATTTATCTTGCCTGTGAAAATAATAACAAACTGACTTATGTTATCAGTGAGAATTGTGCACTATCACCTTCTATATTGTAGAGTATTTCTTTTACTAGTCAAACAAAATATGTGAATTTTGTTTGTTTGAACCAAGATCGTCAGAGAACATTTGCAATGGGAACCTTTTGTCTTTTTTTTTTAGTTTAAATTCTGCAACATAATTAGCTTTACAAAAAATATGACTAATTCTTTGATTTACTGCAACTCTACAACCTATAACTAACACCAACCACACACTGATCTCCATTTATCACATAAAATGGTTATAATATGGAGCTGGAGCAAAATACAGTACCTGTAGTAACAATATACCGTGTAAATCTATCCTGACTCTAGACACACTGTACTTTATGTATTACACCAATGTTGCTTAAAAGAAGTGGGCAAAAATATTCCTCACTTCCTTCTTCATAGTTCTCTCGAGGGAATATGAAACTTCACTGTACTTGGGGTCTGGGCTCATTCAACTTGGGATAAAATTTAAGTTAATGGTCCATAAGGGAGGGCGTAGATTAGCAGTAATCAGCAACGTAAGGCTGCACGCTAAGGTGTCGTGATCACAAGCCTTAGAGCACTACTCCGGGCCATAATTCCCCACCATGTATAAATCACTGCTTTAATTACTACCTGTACAGAAGATCAGTATGGGGGAGGGGAAGACAAGCCACAATGTGTTTGCCCACAAGTCAGCTAACTCACTGCTGTACTACACCCAGGAGGGCCTCTGCCTCAACACCTTTCCCCTCCACTCACTTTACAACCATGATCAAATACAAGTTTGCAGTACTGTTCTATAAATATTATTCATTGCCTCAAAAGCAAAATACAGTTACCCGTAATACACAATTTAAAAGTCTATGCATCAAAAATTTTAAACATCAAGGCTCAGTTTAACTATTGTAGTGTCTTTTATTCTAATATATAAACTTGAAATGCAAATTATATTAATAGTACTTTAAAAATATTAAATTTGAATTGTATTAAAAATGATCGACATCTGTGATCTACTTGAGTACAATCGAACCAGAGGACAGTGAAAACATTATACTGTATTATTCTTGTAATTTGCAAAAAAAATACTACTAATAACTTGTGGAAATATTCAAATTGACAATGGGAGGTTGAGCAGTTAAGCTGTGACCAAAACTATAGTCTCCTTACTTCTCTTGTTCTGTCAAGGGATTGTGACACCAGTGTTTCTGAGCATAAATGTCTTAAATGTAAATTAATAAAGTGAAAGTTTCTGTACACACACACAGTATTGTATATATATATATATATATATATATATATATATATATATATATATATATATATATATATATATATATATATATATATATATATATATATATATATATATATATATATATATATATATATATATATATATATATATATATATATATATATATATATATATATATATATATATATATATATATATATATATATATATATATATATATACTGTATATTAAAAACTTATAATTTTAGAGTACAGTATAAGGAATCAAGAACAACAAAATGCCATTGAACTATAATGTACTAACAACACACTTTTTAAACCTGGTTATGATAGAATAGTGTACAGTACAAACAAATGTTGTAAGTTACCTACATACTGTACCTCACTCAGACTTTTGTAATGATACTAACATTAAATCTCCTTCAGTGAGATAAACAGTGACAACTACAGTACAGTATACTGTACATACTGTACATGTCTGAGAAGGCAGGATACATGTTCCTGTATATCTTCACATGTATCCAGAACATTTGTACAACAACATGCCAGCTATACTATACAGAAAATAATATGCAGTCTGTACTATAATAAAGAATAGTATATATAGACAGTATATTACAAAAATACATTTACCACATGCTTACTACACTGCTAAATTGTTACATGCAACTATACTACAGTACACTGTATAAAACTGGCTAGTTTTGACAATACTCTATCTGCCATGCTAGTTTATATTAAACTGTGTTTAAATGAACTGTCATGCTAATAGGTAGTGTTATGAGACTCCTAAAAAATGCTCGAATCCAACTTTGTATTACTGTTGCAGGATGATGTCCTGATGTAATGTGCGCATGTTTTTTATTATAATTTGTGAATCTTTACAATGTACAAGAATTTGTCACCCAATAGATTTACTTGATCTGAATGGAAAATAAGAGAATCCTGAATTCTATATAGTACACTGTACTGGCAATAATACAGTACTTCCCTTTGGTACACCCAGCATCAATATCAGAACATTAAATCAATCAATATCTATGTATTTAAGGAGTAAAACTTTGCTGACAAGATATGTTTATTACCTCGACGATATCATTATTGGTCCTGGATTCATGAGGTTCATTATACTCGGTGTACTTGAGCAGGACCTTGTCCATATCCGTGGATGCATATTGGAATAGTTTGTTGCTAGAGTTAAAGATGATGAGTGCGATCTCACAGTCACACAACACCGACAACTCATATGCTTTTTTCATCAGACCAAACTTGCGTTTTGTGAATGTCACCTGTAATGTACAAACGAGCAGGGCTGTTAGCTCACAACAACACACGAGATGCTGGTGAAGCAAGCCCACCACTGCCCACCAGGGTCCACTGGAGTTGTGTTATCAAAATTATGGTTGGTGTTCCTAACTGGCGGGCACTGTGGTGGGCTACGCTCACCTGGGTTAGTAGGATAAAGCAGACAACACTGCTGGCACATGGCGTACACTCTGAAGTCACACTCCAAGCCGGAAGTTCTACTGGCAGCTGCAATAAATAGGGTGTAAGCATTTAAACAAGCACATAAGCCCAGCCAGGGCCAATGCTGGTGCTTCTGTACCTCAATGATATTTTTGTTGGTGAGAGACTCGTGAGGCTCATTATATTCTGTGTACTTGAGTAACACCTTGTCCATGTCCGTTGATGCATACTGGTAAAGTTTGTTGGAGGATGAAAATATAATAAGTGCAATCTCACAATCGCACAACACAGACAGCTCATAGGCCTTCTTCATCACTCCAAATTTCCGCTTGTTGAAGGTCACCTGTAGATCAGGAGGGTTAATACTGCATGGTAATGAAGCTTCAGTAAGAGGGCAAACAGTAGTTAGTTAGTTTGGCAGCATTCTTTAGCTGCAAACATGACTCCATGATTCTCCTTAAACTGTATGTGAAATTGTCATAGGTCGTAATCAACAGTAATTTATGTGGCCAAATATAATTTCATTTTTCTTCGTGTTTATTTTTTTGACAAACCCCAGGAATAGGGAAAAATCTAACTTAACCACTGCTATGACTGAGTGTCTCTGAGTGTACTACTGATATAAATACTAGTTCTCTCTTTCTCTCTCTCTGTTTCTTGTTTCGAAAATACAATAACATACCACATTAACTGCTTGTCTCTGTTTTTTTATATTAATGTTGTCAGCAATGCTTGTATCTTTGTTGTAACTGTTCCCCTTACTGTATTATTCATTCTTGGCAAATGCTAAAGTTACTGCAGTGTAATTGGAATTCATAAAACTTATGTTACGGTACAGTACAGTAATACCCTTAAAGTTTAATCGGTCACCATCAACAGCTTACATTTCAGAACAGAACAGTACTGTATATACATTAATTGTATATGCAGTAATATCTCTGTTAGCCGGAATCCCTCAGACCCGGAACTCTCTGATAGCCAGAATTGAAATTTTCTCAGAAAATTGTTCCCAAAGCCAGAATTTTCCGGAAATTCCGACTTTGGGAATGATTTTCCGAGGGGCACATTTTCCGGAAAAGTCCAAGAAAATTTTCCCAATAACCGGAAAATTTCGGGGATGAGGGAGTTTTTCCAAGTTTGAGAGAGTTGTCTCGTTACCCGGAAAACTCTCATTCCCGGAAGTGCTCTGCACCAATTGTTCCGGGTAACGGGGATATCACTGTACTGTACCGGGTATACAGTATCATATACAGTAGTAGTGTATGAAGCTTCAATGATCATATTGTGTTGTAGTGTACTGCATCATGAACATACAGTAACACAATGCTTTACACAGGGTACAGTACTGTATTATGAAGCCAACATTCTAATAATGTACACTGATGAACAAACAATGAACTTGTGTTGAGCAAATTTTACTCTAGAGTACTGTATATAAGGGAAGGCCATCAGTAACTGAATATCATCCAACAAAAGACTTAAGATACTTTTCAATAAAAAGTTTATATATTCTGCTAAAAGTAAATTTGCTGAATGGTGTAAACTTCAATAAATGTTGCTTTAGAGAATAAATCATAATTCATTAAATAATACATATTGTTCCATACACATGATTATTAATATAATGAAATTTAGTTTTATACTCAATTCACACGACTGTGTATGAAAAAACAACTGATATTGTTAAATTTTACATATACAGTACAACAAATGAGCTTCACATAGTAAACCTGACCTAACTTGTGATAACCAATTCTTGATATGACTGACATGTTTAAGTTGAATTACCCAATCCCTAACCAAATGAGAGGTCAGTTAGCTTGGCTTTAATTTGAATTCAGTTTTAATAATCTTATATATTCTTTGTGCCAAGAGTCATCGCAATATATTAACCTATGTTTATAACTTGTCCTGTTTTCAACATACAACCCACGTACAGTACTGTTACTGTATATAGTCAATATGGTAGCAGATCATGATGTGGTAGTGTAGATATACCATATAAGTGACAGAATACAGTATCATAATCTCCATAAATAACTAAACTGTGCAATAAGGGCATACAGTAACAAAATGATGATGACAGGGAGGGAAAAAATAAACTCACGTAGGAACTGTTTGAAGAGTTAAGGTGACAAGGGAAGGGTAGGAAAATGAGAGTAATGTGGAAGAGCACACTGAGAAACAATTGTAAAAAGGAAATTAGTCATTAAAAACATTGTGTTGTAATTGAGACACACAAGGGTACACTGGGTAGCTTAATACACAAGATTCATGGGGAGGGTATGAGGAGTGGGGAGGGTATGAGGAGTGGGGAGGGTATGGGGAGTGGGGAGGGTATGAAGTGGGGAGGTATGGGGAGTGGGAGGGTATGGGGGAGGGGGAGGGTGTGGTGGAGGGGAGGGTGTGAAGTGGGGAGGATAAGGGGGAGTGGAGAGGGTATGGGGGAGTGGGGAGGGTATGGGAAGATATCAGTGATAATATAAAACAGCAAAATATAGGGTAAACAGTCCCCAAAATCTGCCTGTGATTATATAGTACACACACACACACACAGAGCAGCCAGAGTGGTGTTCCTCGTCATAATGGTGTTGCAACTGAAGTTAATGGTATGGGGTGTGGCCTTAATTGTCCCCCGTCCCCCCCCTTGCTACCCATCACCTCTCTACACCCACCCTCGTATTATGACCTACACCCATAATACCTGAAGAGTATACAGTACACCTAACCTAACCTACACTCTATGTTAATCTCTCCTCCAACCCATACTACCTCCTCTCCTTTAACCCATGCTAACCCACACTACCCCCACCCCCGGTTGTAGGGAGGGTGTAGCTCAAAGAAACATGCAAGCCGTCTACAACTCCACCGAAATTGATTTAATTACCTACATAATGATGCTGCCTTGAGAGGTGAGGCGCTAGTAGACTAACAGGTGTGGGTGGTGCAGGTGTGGGTGGTGGAAGGAAGTACAGGTGTGGTGGAAGGAAGGAAGTACAGGTGTGGTGGAAGGAAGGAAGCACAGGTGTGGGTGGTGGTGGTGGAAGGAAGTAAGGGTGTGGGTGGTGGGAGGAAGTACAAGTGTGGGTGGTGGGAGGAGTACAGGTGAGGGTGGAGGAAGAGGTGTAGGTGGTGGAGGGAAGTACAGGTGTGGTGGAAGGAAGGAAGTACAGGTGTGGGTGGTGGAAGGAAGTACAGGTGTGATGGAAGGAAGGAAGCACAGGTGTGGGTGGTGGTGGTGGAAGGAAGTACAGGTGGTGTGGTGAAGGAAGAAGGGTGTGGAGGAAGCACAGGTGTGGGTGGTGGAGGAAGCACAGGTGTGGGTGGTGGAAGGTACAGGTGTGGGTGGTGGAAGGAAGCAGGTGTGGGTGGTGAGGTGGAAGGAAGCACAGGTGTGGGTGGTGGAAGGAATTACAGGTGTGGGTGTGGAAGCACAGGTGTGGTGGTACAGGTATGGGTGGTGGAAGGAAGCACAGGTGTGGTGGAAGGAAGGAAAGCACAGGTGGGTGGTGGAAGGAAGTACAGGTGTGGGTGGTGGATGGGTAGGGAGGGAAGTACAGGTATGGGTGGTGGAAGGGAAGAGGTGTAGGTGGTGGAGGAAGACAGGTGTGGTGGAAGGAGGAAGTACAGGTATGGGTGGTGGAAGGAAGCACAGGTATGGGTGGTGGAAGGAAGGAAGCACAGGTATGGGTAGGAAGGAAGTGGTGGTGGAAGGAAGTACAGGTGTGGTGGAGGAAGTACAGGTGTGGGTGGTGGAAGGAAGTACAGGTATGGGTGGTGGAAGCGGCGGAACGGGTGTGTACATAATTTCTGGACATAAGAGCAGTTCAGACTTAAGCTTGGAGATACAAGTATTTGCACATACGTATATGAGAGAGAGAGAGAGAGAGAGAGAGAGAGAGAGAGAGAGAGAGAGAGAGAGAGAGAGAGAGAGAGAGAGAGAGAGAGAGATACTAGGTTCCAAACAGTAGGCACCAACACCCACCCGCCCCTCCCTAATAATGAAACAGCTGTGAGTGACCTTTCCCCGAGGGCGACCTATTATTTATGCACTCAACTCAAGGTCAGCATTGCTACAGAAAACCACCCGCCATTGATCACCCCTCCACCAAGATTGTCCTGTTGAGAGGGAGAGGGGAGGAGAGAGGAGGAGAGGGGGGAGAGGTGAAGTATACCCTCCTCCCCCTTCCCCACCCGTGTGACCCTCCCCTACCATTAGCATACCACCGTCACCATCCACCAAAATAGTAACCAGGTGGTAATTCCGTCACGAGAACACCTCAAGAGTTGTTTTGGTTGGGAAAGGAGTGGTATAAATAATGAAGGTGGTTGCCAAATATAGAATCAATACAGCTATTCTGAGGGAGGTGTGTGCGTGTGCGCCGTCGGGGTGTAGGCGCTGCTGGAGGTAGTGACGGTGGTGTTGTCCTTCCCTATACTGTGTTCCTGTAGCTGCTATTGCTACTTCCTCTCCTCCTCCCACTACTTCTCACTTACCTAACCATCTATTTCCTATTTACTTTCCTATGTACCCATCTCATCCAGTCATCCATCCACTACCCACAACCAACATCATCCGTCACTAACCACAACCTGATCTACCACTATTACCGACTATCTACTCTTATCTACTAACACACAAACAACTACGATTACCACACATTCAAATATTCAACCATCCACTATTACCGTTAACTACTGATACTAACTTATTTATTCAATGACCTATTATTATTATTATTATTATTATTATTATTATTATTTTACCGTATTTATGACCCACCCACCCACTCCCTGACCCAACCTCTCCTTGACCCATCCACCTCCTCCTTGCCCCACCAATCCACACCCTGACCCACCCCCTCCTTGACCCACCCACCTCCTCCTTGCCCCACCCTCCCTGACCCACCCACCTCCTCCTTGACCCCACCCACCTCCCTGACCCACCTCTCCTTGACCCACCTCCTTGACCACCTCCCTGACCCACCACCCCCATACACCTGTTACAGGGTCCTGGGCCAATGTCGAGATGGCTAACACAGTATCTTGAGGACAGACACACAGGCAAGTAACTGAACTGTCGATGTTGTGTCCGTAGAGTTATCGGTGAGAGAGTTACACCACCTTTCCCTACCTCACACAGGACGAAGATTTAAAGGGTAAGCCTACTAAACATTTGGGGGGGTTTAAGTATAACATAAGGGGAAATTAACACGTGTTTTAACATAGATTTGTGACAATGAGGAATATTTCATAGTTTCCGGGCAAAAATGACCTATATAACAGCACAATATATTTATGAGAAAATATTGTAAGTTTTTTTTTTTAAGGCATATCAATTAAAAAGAATTCAAATTATGAGTTGTCTATAATGATAAACAAAGTATTACGTCATAGTTTACTACCTGAGAAGTAAGCAAGGTAAATAACAACACAGGTAATGATGTAACTCACCTGTCTGTTCCGTTCGTCGGTTATCCGAGAGATTTGAATCTTCTTACGCCCCATCTTGGCTGTGTATCGGTACCGAGTGTAGGGGGTGGTAGTAGTGGTGGTGTTAGTGTAAGGCGGTGGTAGTGGTGGGTGTCTGTGTGGTACCAACAGGAGGTGTAGGTGGTGGTGGTGGTGTAAGTGTATCAATAACAATAGCGACGGCAGCTGGGGTGGTGGTAATAGTAGTAGTTGTGGTGTTGGTAGTTGTGGTAATAGCCGTGGTGATAAGACCAGGAACCAACCAACCAGGCGACAGCGACAACAACGTCACTGGGTTATTAAGGCAGTTTGTGGTGTGGTGGTGGTGGTGGTGGTAGAGGACGTCCCCAGCACACCACACTACGAGGATTTAAAGATGTGTTGGTGCAGATCACATAAAAAATCTTTACAAAGGACACGGCGTTATCACAGTAGGTGGTGAAGGCGTGGTGGTGAGTGGTGACGAGGGGGGAGGGGTGTGGTGTGGTGGTGAACAAGGATGTGTGTTGTGGGCGCCGCTGTGGGCCAGGCCGTTTCACCACTCAACTCGTATGATAGTTGAGGATTCACTTCACTCACTAGTCCACACGGGTCTCACTTCCCCCACACTACGAGTTTCTGCAACGACACAAAAAATATAATAATTAGAATAGAAAAAATACTATCATCATAATGCATAAAATATCAGTTTAAAAATAGATAAAATTACGACCAATAAAATAGATAAAATATACAAAATACGACTGATAAAATAAATAAAATACCACTATTATATTACTACTAAATACATGCCTTAAAATATAACTCATATGTATACGCATTAACACATGATAGCCCACATTTTTATAATTCACTGTATGTATGCATATATGTATATAAACATATATACTGATATATTTTATTTAACTAATACATATAAAATTCCAGTATTAAAATAAGATAAAATTTTGAATGGATAAAATTAAATAATACAATGAAACATATTAAACAAAAAACAACTTAATAATTGGTGTTTTAGTTTATAAATAGCATTACTATTACTACCCAGTAGACGACCATTCAAGTATACACACCTTATATCTACCTTCCTCATTAGCCCCCCCCACCCCCCTCACCTTTCCTCCCTCCACCCCCCTCACCTTCCCTCCCTCCACCCCCCTCACCTTCCCTCCCTCACTAGTACCCAGCGCTAATCACCACCCCAGGTTAAAAGACCTATACAAAGGTAATGTCTTTCCTTCTCCCGTTTTAAGTCTAACCTCACCCTTGAAAACCTAACCTAACCCTTGAAAACCTAACCTAACCTCACCCTTGAAAAACCTAACCTAAACTTTTCAAAAATATAATAATAATAATAATTAATAATAATAATAGTAGTAGGGATATCTTTACCTACCTTGGGATACTGCTGGTGGTGACTTCACCATGAGACGGCGACTTAGCACCAATCATCGCACTCAACCATCCCACACCTCACCTGTAGACCGCCGTGCAGGTGAGACTCATACACACACACACACACACACACACACACACACACACACACACACACAGCAGTAATATAGCAAGGTCAAATAGTAACATTAATAATAGTAGCAAAAAATAACAATAATAGTCATAAAATTAATAGTAGCAACAACAATATTACTAGCAAATACAACAATAACAAGAAACAAAAATAGCAACAAAAACACATCCTTACAACAACAACGGTAGCGACAAAAACAGTGACAACAAAAACAGTGACAACAAAAACAGTGACAACAACAACAGTGACAACAACAACAGTGACAACAAAAACAGTGACAACAAAAACAGTGACAACAAAAACAGTGACAACAAAAACAGTGACAACAAAAACAGTGACAACAACAACAGTGACAACAACAACAGTGACAACAAAAACAGTGACAACAAAAACAGTGACAACAAAAACAATGACAACAAAAACAACAACAACAAAAACAAATCTACAACAAAAACAGTGACAACAAAAACAGTGACAACAACAACAGTGACAACAACAACAGTGACAACAAAAACAGTGACAACAAAAACAGTGACAACAAAAACAGTGACAACAAAAACAGTGACAACAACAACAGTGACAACAAAAACAGTGACAACAAAACAAATCACGACAAAAACAACAACAGTGACAACAACAACAATAACAACAAATAAAAGGGGTACTCATGAAAAAAATACCACATCCGGTCATTTAAAACTGCTAAAAACTTTATAATGACCTTTAACCTTAACCCTTTGTAACCCTGACCTGACCATAACCCTTCTCTGACCTAGATTAACTAACCCCTTAACCTAATCTACTTTAACCTAATTTGACCTACTTTATTAACTTTTCCTTAACCTCTGACCTAATTTTGAAACTTTAATCTTATACTTTTTATACTTTTATCCTAACCCATGACCTACTTTTGCTACTTTCGTTACTTTACATTAATCAATTACTTTTTTGTACCTTAACCAATCAGCTAATATCTGGTCTTTTCTTAACCAATCAGCTATTATCTGGTCTTTCCTTAACCAATTAGCTATTATCTGGTTTCCTCTTAACCAATCACCTTCCATTGCCCTGGCGGTGGATGGATGACAGCAATAACAATCTGAGCTCAAATTGCAAAAGAAAACACCACTTGCAACAGCCCTGACACCACTTGCAACAGCCCTGACACCACTTGCAACAGCCCTGACACCACTTGCAACAGCCCTGACACCACTTGTAACAGCCCTGACACCACTTGCAACAGCCCTGACACCACTTACAACAGCCCTGACACCACTTGCAACAGCCCTGACACCACTTGCAACAGCCCTGACACCACTTGCAACAGCCCTGACACCACTTGCAACAGCTCTGACACCACCACCATTAACAACGATAACAGCAACAATGCCAACTCAAGAACAGCAGCAGAGGATCGTCCAGGCCAGCAGACAGCAGAGAACACAAGAACAGCAGAAGAGGCTCGTCCAGGCCAGCAGACAGCAGAGAAGAACGTAAGAACAACAGCAGAGGATCGTCAAGGCCAGCAGACAGCAGAGAAGAACGTAAGAACAACAGCAGAGGATCGTCAAGGCCAGCAGACAGCAGAGAAGAACGTAAGAACAACAGCAGAGGATCGTCCAGGCCAGCAGACAGCAGAGAAGAACACAAGAACAGCAGAAGAGGATCGTCAAGGCCAGCAGACAGCAGAGAATAACACAAGAACAGCAGAAGAGGCTCGTCAAGGCCAGCAGACAGCAGAGAATAACACAAGAACAACAGCAGAGGCTCGTCAAGGCCAGCAGACAGCAGGGAGGAACACGGTGCAGGTGGACATGCGCGCTAGGACCTGGATCGACCCGCTCGTGTGTGTGTATGTGTGTATGTGTGTATGTGTGTGTGTGTGATGAGGTTAGGTCACCAACCCCCCCCACCACCCACCACACACACACACACACACACACACACACACACACACACACACACACACACTGACCTGTCTTGATCCATCCACCTACACCACCTCTCCCACCCACACACTGCCCTCCTTCTCTCACACCTCACCTCATACCACACCTCATCATCCTCCCACATACTCTCTGACCACCACCCCATCAGAGGCGTAGGTGGGCGTGGCGGGGTGGGCGTTGGAGTCCCTTACTTACACTAGAACACCTACAAATGGGAATCGATTTCATGTTTCTTCCCTCACCTTATTTACGCGCGTGTGTGTGTGTGCGTGTGTGTGTGTGTGTCTCACGGCTATAGATTCACTCACAGGTACACGTGATCACTGACGCTTAATTCTTAACACCACACCTTGAACGAGAGAAAAACCTGTGTGTAAGTCGTCATCCAAGTCGTCACCTTAAATCGTCATCTAAATCGTCAACTAAGTAGTCATCCAAGTCTTCACCCAAATCGTCACCCAAGTCGTCACCCAAGTCGTCACCCAAGTCGTCACCCAAGTCGTCATCCAAGTCGTCACCCAAGTCTTCATCCAAGTCGTCATCCAAGTCGTCACCCAAGTCGTCATCCAAGTCGTCATCCAAGTCTTCATCCAAGTCGTCAGCCGTCGTCACCCAAGTCGTCAGCCAAGTCATCATCCGTCATCGTCATCCAAGTCGTCACCCAAGTCGTCGCCCAAATCGTCATCCAAGTCTTCACCCAAGTCATCACCCAAGTCGTCACCGTCGTCAGCCAAGTCATCACCCAAGTCGTAAGACACAAACACTCCCCACAAAAAGTACCTAAACAACAAAGCACTTAACATACACTCATACTACATAAACACACCTACTACCCTCGTATATGTTTATAAATATCTTAAGTTTTACATTCCTGGATTATTAATGTCAGGCAAAATATATAAAATTATCATATATGAAGAGTATTTTTTTTTTAGTCTAGTTAATTTCAGTGAGGAGGAATCTTGGTTATTGACCCCTAAGTGTTCTATGGTTAAAATCTTTTCGTGGTTATTATTCACCTTATGTGTTATAACAACCACATTTCACAACTACATACTAACACAACTTTTATTATTTATCTAACATCATAATAATCCTCTATCATTCTAGCAACTACTTACCTACTACCACAACCCAACTACCACAATATAACACAACTTTAACCATCTACCTACAACAACCACCACTCAGATACCACCACAACCACAATCCCCCAGCTACCAGCACCCAGATACCATACAATCTCCTAGCAATCACGACAACCACGCTCCTCCACAACCCTCAACCACAACCCTTCAGCTACAACCATAACCAATCCCCCAACCACCACCACAATCATCCAGCTACCACCACCACCACCCAAGACAGTACCACCACCAGCAGACACAGTTGGTGGTGGTCCCCCGTGTGCACCCGACACCAGTACCGCCAAGACACCATTAAGATATCCTGTGGAAATGGATGATGACACAGAGATGGTGACTCCTTGCCTCCTTCTTCCTCCTTCTCTGGGTGTGTTGAAGGAAGGACGGACGGAGGGAGGGAATGGCAGAGGGGTATAGGTGGAGGGAAGAAAGTGGAGAAAAACTAGAGGAGGAAGTGCAAGGAAGAGAAGGAGGAAAGAAAGGAAGGTGGCGAAAAAAGAGGATGAAAGAATGAGGAAGAAACAAGAGTGAATGATCAGGAGGAAAGAGAAAGAGAGAAGGTGAGGGAGAGGAAGAGGAGGAAGTCTGGGAAAGGATATGAAGAGGAAGGAACGAGAGAAGATGGACTGTTAGTGCTGAAATATGACCCTGAGGTGGATGGGAGGTAGAGGAGAGGGAGAGAAGACAGGGGTGGGGGAGGAGAAGGAGAGGTAGGAGGAGGAGGAGGAGGAGGAGGAGAAAGGTCAAGTGGGAAACAGGAAGAAGGGAGCAGCACCTGAGGAAAGAAGAAGAGGAGGAGAAGAGGAGGAAGGGGGGACGGAAGGAAAGACGTTTCATCTTGTGGTAAAAATATTTCCCTCAGTTACGTAAGGAAAAACAACCTGACAGACAACAGAGAAATAAAAACGTTTTTTTACTAAACACTTAAGTAAACGTTCCCTATAAAAACGTTTGGGATAGAAAGTCTCAATAGTCCACATAATTAAACCACAGCAC